TTCTCCAAAACATAAGAAATTCATCGCAAACTTTCAGTAAAATACATCCATTACGTGTTGATACCATGGAGACATTTTTCATTTTGTCACATATTTCTTGAATTTTCTAGAATCATGGGTCTATAAATCTTGCCTTCAAATCCTTATAAACTTTCCAAGCTGCAATGGCTAAAATACTAAAGAAAAATTATCCCTACCAATTCAGTAACAGCAAAAAGCCAAAAATATTTTGGAAAAAAAAAGGAGGGAAAAAGTGTAAAATTAATTTTATAGAGAAAACTGATACATATTCTGAATTTGAATATTCTGAGACAATTACATGAAAAACTTTTACAATGAAAAAATTAAAAGAAGATATTTTTAACTAATTACATAGCTAATTTTGCTTTTGCTAAGAGAGCCATTTCGTAAATTGTGTTTTATAGCATTATACCTTCTTTATTTTTCAAAGTCAAAATATTGTATAATAAGTTGCCAAAATGAGATTTTATAATATGATAGCGAAAATTAAAAATGTTTTTATTTTAATACTATTTTTTAAATATAATTTCAATACATTACCTTTATTTTAATGAAATTTATCAATGTTCACGATGTTTAAAAAAAATTGTCCAAAAACTCTCATAGATCTTGGAATTAAAAATTTTCTATAGAAACTGATCGTAAAATAAAATCGCTAAAATGTTAATAAGTCACCAAAATTTAGAACCGTTTAATAAAAGACTTCACATCTCCTAAAGCTAAAAGTTGTTTAAGAAAGCTCTTTACTAGAAAAAATGAATTTTCGAAAGGCTGCTTATGTTCTCACTTCTTGCTTAGAAACTCGAGTATCCCATCAATTATATCAGAAATAAAAACAAATTACAACCCATAAACCCATTCAAAAGATAACCATAGATGCCAGTGAATCGCCGAAAATATTCCTCCAAAATGCTAATTCACACTCAAAATGGCAATTAAAACGAAATTCATGATTAAAATTAAGGACCTTCTGCTGATTTTGGCCAAAATTAAGGACTTTTAAAGACCAAAAATCGATTCCAAAAAACCTAAGGACTTTTAAGGACTCTTAAGGACCGTACGAACCCTGTATAAATTACGTAAATTGAATAAACCTTTTGATTTTCAGTTAATTATTTGGCATTTGGGCACAGTTTAAGAAGATACATAAAGATAAAGAATTAGATGATTGTGACGAGATCCAATATTTGCTGTGAACCTGGAATTCGAGCTAAGCATTTATTAAAAAGTTACCAATAACTTCAGAAAATTATTCGAAAGTTTTGCTAGCTTTTCAAGAGCATCATGGGAAACAAAGATATTCTTATCCAAATGTATGTCTGGGAATTTTTTTAATTAATTACAGCAAATGTTCAAAATAGGGAAGAAGACAGATTATCATTGTATGACTTGTTTCTCAAGGTAGAAACACATTCAAGCTCTTTAGAATCCAAGGGGCTTCATGCAGAAAGTAATTTAGCCTGGCTGTACCTCATGATAGACTCTTACTTATCTGATGATTTAACAGCATGGCAGAGATACAATGTTGGGAGAAAATAAGATTCTGATAATGAAGCTAGTTTCCCGAAATCAAGTTTAATGCTGTTAACAAACTTTTTGAAAAGGGAGGCCATGAGTGAAGAAAAATTATAGTTAAACAGGTCACCCTTTGAAAGTATTATTCCAAAAGATAAAGTAAAAGAGAACGCTGAAAAGGGATAACAAGTACCATAATGCAGCTGGTTTATTTGGTGCTAAAGAAATGTGTTTGTTCTCTGGTAAGTTGCAAGAAAGTAAAGATTGTGTAATTGTCAGATCTTTCTCTCTGGAATAAAAAATAAAGTTTTTTCTGTCCTGAAATAGGCAAAGTGAAAAAAAACTAATGATAAAAGTAAAACCCAAGCGAATGTCCAGAACGCACATGCAAATCAGCAGTGTTCAAAGAAAGTAACGCTCATGACACTAGGAGTGTTAATAAAGGATAGTAAGAAAATTAAGAGGTGCTTATTGGACAATGGATCCCAAAGGAGTTACATTCTGAGGAGCACTGTGAAAGAACTTGTTCTTAAGCCTCTCACTACAGCAACTATTACCTACATGGTATTTGGAGGTGCACAAATAGAAGCTAAACCTGACAGTAAATGTAATTAAATTAAGTGCACCAGGTAATGGTCACAAAACAGTTCTAACAGCGAATTCCTTGATCAAGAAATGATATGCAGGAAAATTCTTCACATTCCAAAGAGGTCTGATCTAGAACAGATTTAAAAAAATTGACTGTGGTTATCAGATATTGGGACTGGGAGCCCAGAAATAGAAATTTTAATTAGCAGCAATGCTTATAGCCAAATTCTAATGGCAATTCAAACAAAACTTGAATGGGCAATTTGCGATGAGTTACAGAATCTATCCCAAGACTACGTGAGTAGTGGTACAGTTACACTGAAGACTAATTTATCTGTGAGAGAACTGAATGTTTCTCTGAGTTAGCCGATGACTTAAAGTACTTACTAGAAGTTAAGATAGACATTACAGTGTTGGTCTTCCATGGACGTTTCTTCCATGGACTTATTTCTGTTTGAGGGGACCCAAACATCCCCTCAAACAGAAATAAAGTAGAAAGAGGGTTGTTTAACACCAGCAGAAGACTGAAGAAAAGTTAAACAAATCTGAAGATTATGACCTAATCTTTAAAGAATGTCAGAAAGAGAATGTCATACAGAAGACTCAAGAAGAGAATTAGAAGCAGAAGGCCACTACTTGTTTCACCATCCAGTTATTAAACCAGAGAGTACCAATACCTCTATCAGAAGAGTTTTTGATGCCTTGTACAAAGTTGTATGAGCACCATCCCTAAATGACTGTCTCTTCAAAGGGTCTAACTTGATAAAAGAAATTCTGACTATATTATTGAGATTTCAAGAAAAGACTATTGCTGTTGTGCTCGACATTAGAAGTCTTCCTTCAAATTGAAATTAAGATGATTGCTGATTTTTGAGATTTTTATGGTGGAAGAAGGCAGATAAAATTAAAATCTATCAGCATAATAGAGTAGTATTTGGAGCTACTTCTAGCCCATTTTTACTCAGCGTGGTTATAAGGCACCATCTAAACAAGTATCCAGAATAATAGATAGTGAATTCAAATTAGGAGAATTTATCTTAAACTCAACTCAAATTATGGCTAAGACGGATATGAGATTATGGCAATTCAGTGATATAGAAGAAACAGGAAAGTTGTCATCTGAAAATAGAAGTTTGTTTAAAAGAGATCTTACAACTCCATTTTTGGTTTTGGGGATCAAATGGGATAGAAAGGAGGATTGTTTAATGATTTTGCAATAAATTTGATGCTGAAATATAAAATCCTATTAAATGGAAAACTTATCTATATTATCTTATTCAAGGTATTTACGATACCATTGGCTTTCTCGTTTCAGCATAATTGCAAGCCAAGCTAATGATTCAGGAAACCTGGTCGGCTAAGTCAGAACGGTTTTTTAAGCTTCACGAGAAAATTTAAAAGGACTCTTAGAAGCATTAGAGTGAATTGAAACAATTACCTAACTTAAACACAGATGTATATGTCACAATAATATAGAAAAATGACCCATACATGTATTTTACAATCACGTTAAAATGTGTATGCAACAGTAATTTTCCTATGCTGTGAAGATGATAACAGAATTTTGGTACAGCTTCTAGGAGCAAAATTGTGACTTGCTTCAAAAAGGAATTTAACAATCTTGTGCCTTTAACTTGCTGCCTGTGTTTTGGAAACCAGATTACCAAATTATATTCTTGAGGCTCTGGATGTTCCTACAGTACCAGTTTATCATTGGACTGATTCTTCCAACAGTTATAGCATGGATATGAAGCAATGACCAATGACGTATTTTTGTGGGTAACAGAATCAGAGAAATATGAAACATGGAATTGCACTGATGATATCTTGTCCCAGGTTTCCATTTCCAGGCTTGTCCAGGTCTTTTGAGAGGAATTTCAGCTCAGCATGTATTTTAAGTGGCCCCCTTACCACACAGCACCATATGCTTAGAAACATCCATGCCTTTTCCAGGATTCAAACCTCTGCCCATCCCTAAAGCAATCAGTGTCCCTAATCAATGTACCAGCTTGGCAGCTAAAACATAGGCAACAGAAATGGTATTGGACAAATTCTGATTTTTTAAATATAAGACCAGTGGGTTCAAGCAATGACAAAGAAAAAATGAAAAAAGATACCCCCTAAAGGGAGTTATCTGATGTTTTTATGAAAGGAAATTTTACATCTAAACAATAACATACACCTTATCATTTTACATTCAGGCTGTCTTTTTACTGCATTCTCCTTCGTGCAGGTACAGTAAAATTAGGGAGTAAAATTAGAAAAATAGGAGATTGGACATACTTTTTTAAGATTATATTAAGATTAAAGCCTGACTAAAAATCTCACTATTTTTATAGGATGCTACTACATCATGTTGTTTGCAGTTTTATACACCAAGGTTCTCACACATATGGAACGTCAGAACTTCCAAAATAAACATAAAAAATGTAATTTAAAGAGAAATTCTAAATGTATTTTTTATGTTCAGTATTATTTCCAAATAGGCAAATTATACATAATTTGGTGTTTCACTGCATTTTAAATGGACTTTTAAAATAAAAAATTTTTGGAAAAAGATTCTTTTCACTGTAGCGATAAAGAATCTAAAAATGATAAATATCTCATACAAATAATTTTGGTAAATTTTGTTTTGAGATGAAAGCAAGAGAAACTTCCCTTGATATAACTCTTTAATCATCTTGAAAATAAAGGAGGAAAATGCGAGGGGGAAAATGATAAAAAGAAAAGAAAAACTCGAGCAAACAAATGGAAAACGATGAAGAAATTTACATAACTATTCGATTTAAAAAAATTAACATTTCACTGCTTTAAAAAATTTTTAAATGTCTTGCATATTCAAAAACACAAAATATACTTTTAGGAAAAATACATACCTGCTGAGCAATATATTTATACAGAGCTCTAACTACTTTCACATGACCTAAAAATACAAATTATTGTAAGTTTAGAAAATCAGATTTGTTATTAAATTAAATTAGCTGTGCACTAAAAAAGTTACAGCAATATTATAGCAAATTATTTTTAACCGTAGTTAGGTACTTACGCATCATCACAACCACCTTAAAAAGTTGCTAAACTCTGGCAACCATGCATATAACAGTTCTTTAGTTAGCCAGACTCATTATAAGCTGCAATCTAAAGTTCACCAAATCACCTTTTTCTTCTACAAAAAATCGCCAAAGTGGTTGAACTAATGTGCAAGTACCCATATTTAAAAATTTAAAAAAAGAGTACTATATAACTACCTACATGCCCACTAAAAAGTCACAAACTCATGGCCGATTTTGGAAAGCATTGGCTAATTCGTTGATGACTTTGGATGGAAACATCTGTTCCGGTAAATTTACATCTACTTTAATGACGAATTCACTGCTGCCTATTCTTTTTTCACACAAGACATGCACACTTCTCAGTTTCTTCCATTATTCCTCCCATGTACACAGCGGTAACCAGACAAAAATCCAGCTGCACGAAAGCACATGTAACTAAAGCCCACAAAAAAAAAAAAAAAAAAAAAACACTGTAATAATTCCTTACGTGACAAATACTCACACAAAAGAAAATCCACGCCAATATATGTATTATGTTGATATTAATATTTTTCCAACTTTTTTCCCATTTATACAAAGCGGATTCACAAAAAAAGATAAAATAAACATAATTAATTTTAATAAAAAATAATTCAATAAACAAATAATGGAACACATTTATTTTGGACTCCAGCTGAATTAAAAGCCTACAAAAATATAGAAAATGTAAATAGAATTTATATATTTTCTGTATATGTAAATAGAAAAAACAGTCAATCAAAAGAAAATTAATATAATTATAAACACTTATCTGTGTGTAACTGTTATTATATCTGGTTGTAATGAAAGTTTTCCTCCAAAAAATGTTCCTAATAAAGTTAGAAAAAAGAAAAAACATGAAAGCAGTACTTTTAGTACGGATAGTAATCACCACACAAATCTATAATTTTCTGCTAACGTTTAGTAGGTTTTTCAAAGCCTTCGGCCCAGAATCTTGGTAACCCCCCCCCCGAGTCCTCAAAACAGATCAACCTATTTTCGGACATCTTGCGCACAGTGGCGTAGCTAGAGTGGGGCAACGCGGGGACATCTGTCCCCGGGCGTAGCATCCAAGGGGCGCCAAATTGATGCTACAAATTTTAGAATGAAATGCTTCCCATTCTTGGAACACAGAAAGAGGAGTAAAATCTTTAGTTGTCCCTGGGCAGCTAAGCCTCTGCTTGTGCAGAGTAGGAGATAGCACAGCTGCTCAAAAAAAAGGGGGGGACAGTGCTATATCTCTCATTCTGCTGGGCCGATTGACAAAATTCAAACTGCGTTTTTCATGTCTCGAAACGCGACTTAGGAAATATATTAGATTTATATATAGCACTATTCTAACATAGGTATTTTGACATAAAATCAGACTTTTTCTGAAATAACATACCAATTTTTTTACATATTTCGATTCTGAAACTCAAATTACGCCTAAAAATGAAACATAAGGTTTAAAATAATCATTCTTATAAAAGTCACATTATGATATAAACATACAGTCCTCTGGAGACCGAATTAATGGAAGTTCAATGGTTACGTAGAAATGATCTGCAGCTACTTAATGGCTCGATAAGTCAGCAGGTTTTGTGTTCAAGTAACAATAATTATATAAACGACACTCAACATTCTGCATTCAATTACCAACGAGGATACAATGCTTATTAAATGAATTTAAGAAGTTTTAAAACATAAAAAATCAACTCATTTTTTATCTCGAAATGTATTTTTGTGCATAGCGTATTTTCATTATATCCTTAAAATTCTAATTTAGAATGTAATTGTCAAGAACTGAATCCTAATCATCAGTAATATAATAATTATTACCGTTATTAATAAATTCTTCTTATAAAGTAATTGCAAATATTTCAAAAAACTTTCTGTCTGAATACAAATATTTTTCTATGCAAACGTTTCTAATTTTATATTAATCAAGATTGCACAAGATATTATTTATTCGCACTTCAATTCTTACCATCAACTCTAGTAGAAGTTACAAATCAATTATATTTAATTAAGGAAGGACCATCTAAGTTTAGAAACAGCGTACCGTAACAGCAATTCAATTATTGCCCCATATCTTTCATGTTACTCCCGATTGGCAAGCTACATGATTTTTAATGAGTATTCGGGTTTTGCTAGTAACTTCTTGGAAATCCCGCTTAAACTAGGTTAGTTGGTTATTTCAACATAGAAAGAACATGGGAGCTATTTGATTAAGATGCTTTCATAGAGAACCTTTGTAAAGAGAACCTAGAAAACTACGAAAACCAACCATTCAGCCTGGGTTATACTTCGCAACAAACAATTAGTATTTAACAATCAAATGCTAGGCAACTGGTGAGGCTCCAATTAAATCTCCAATTTAATATTTTATTTGTAAATATTTAAAATATTGTTGTATTCTTAGACACAAAAAGCAGAATTTAAGTTTTGTTAACTCGTTAGTAAACTACCAAGCCGTAGTGCAAATGAATATTCAATTTCTTTTGCAATAATTGTATTCACTTAATATTCTTGGAATATGAGGTAAAGAAGGAACGTTCTCGGAAGATTAAAGAAGTGTTTAAATCCAGTGATATTAGGTTTGTCTTACAAGCTCAGGATCAAAACGATTCTGCAATTGCCCGAGTAGTTGACTTGTAAATGGCTGTGAATTAAGCAGATGACTTTTAATCTCATGTTATTCAGTCAGAAACGTATTCCAAATGTTTTGTATTGCATGACAACGCATCTTTTTATTACTCAATAAAAAATCGGAGAACCGCTTGTGCTCCGAAAATAAGTAGGTGTACTATATCGTCCTGCATGTTCTTCAAATTCGTCTTCTTGTAATTTTTTTTTCTTTCCCAAAAACTAAAGTTACCTCTCAAAGGAAAATTTTTTGACATTGAAGAGACAAAAGGAGTATGACATCTACTTTTAGAGGCATGTCAAAAACAGATCTTTTCACAAGTTTCTTGTTTCACAAGAAAACAAGTCTTTTCTTCCATTACATGTTATGTATTCAGACAAAAGTTGCGTCAGCATAAATTCTATAATCTATTTTTATTACACTCTGATTATTTTATTAACATACAATGAATATATATTAAACCTTTTACTTCAGCTTCAGTAATTCGGAATTTTTGATGGAATTGTTGTCGGAACTAGGACTTAGAAGAGAAGTCAAATTGAATATTTCGGTAATCCAATATATTCAAGATCGAAATTTCAATATTTTATTTTTGGAGGGAGGGGAAATTTTTTCAGTTTTGGTCCGTTATCCTAAGTATATTTGCTTCCATTCTTTATTTTTTCCATAAAAGTAAAAATTTTATGCATGGTATACATATAACGCATAGCTTCAAATTTAAATTTAATAATATACAAGGTGGTTATAATTAAAAGTTCCACTTTGAAACGGTCATAAAAGGAAAACTACTGGATCAAATGTCATCAAACTTGGTAACCGTGTAAAGGAGGTCATTGGAATTTATTTTCCGTGAAAAAAATGAAAGTTCGAAACCTCACCACCAGGGCGGAAATGGAGCTGTATGCAATATTGTTAAATGAAATATGGGTCGGAATCTAACTTAACCTTTTGTTACACGGGTTTAATATGTTGTATACCCTTAAGAATCTTTGAAGTCAGCAAATTACCATTTAAAGGTGTTAAATTCAATAAAAGTCGAGTGCGTCATCCGTGAAAGGGAGAAATTCGTCCGTGGAAACCACAAATTAGTGATTAGAAAATGTGACATCGCAAATCACTCGCACAAGTGCGTACAATCTGGAAATTGTTTTCTTACAGATTGCTAATTTGTAATTTTTGAAGCCTGAATTTGGCCCTAAAACATGAAGATACTGATTCAAAACACTTTTAATCAGTCTGAGCCAAAGAAATCTCTCACGTTATCTACCTAGCTTCATTGCATTCTCTAACTGCATTCGATTGCCTGACAGCTAGTTTCATAACTGAACCATTTTTCTCTGAAGAGCAGTCGACCATTGGACCACTGTGATTGCAGCTCGCTTAGAGTCAATGATAAAATGTTTCGTGATACATGAACTGCAGTAACATGGTATTTTAGATACTACAATTTTTATGCAGGGCTGGCCCCACCTCACATGTGTCGCACCCCTCTTCCCACCAGACCTCAACCTCTGCGTCTTTTGGGTATAGGATTATCTCAAAAGCACTGTTTATGGTGATAATCGAAATAATTTTACAGAAATGAAAAATGTGATACACCAACATGTCTGTAACATTCCTCCTGATATGCTAAGAGCTGCAGTTGAGAATGCAGTAACAGAATTTAACTTGCTTCAGAAAATGCTGGACGCTACATTGAACATGCTTTGTAACATGTTTTGGAAACGATTAAACACATTTTAAAGAGACGTTTTCATGTCTTATTTCATTTAACAATATTACACCATTTTTCCCCTGGTGGTGAGTTTTTTAACTCTTTTTTTTTTCCCGCGGAAAATAAATTCCCATAACCTCCTTTACATGATTCCCAAGTTCGAGAACTATTTGGTCTGATAGTTTTCCTTTTATGACCATTTGAAAGTGGAACTTTAATTATAACCACCATGTAAATTAAACTTTAGAAGTTTGACAGTTTGGTTCAAGTCCCAGCTTTAAAAATATATATATAAATATAAATTTTTATATTAATCCTCTTAGAAAGAAGCTAATTTTTCTCTCGCTTTAGAGATTGCATAAAAAAAAACGTGATCCATTTAGATTGTTTTAGCCGATATAAGAATCGGATCACTCAGTGGTACAGAATAAACACTGCTGGACTGTTTTCTTTGTCATTTAGCAAAAATCTTTTAATTAAAATATTTATCCTTTGTACTTTGCTTTAAA